CAAAAGCCACTTCATACCTGCCGAGGCACAAAGCATTTCTGCAGACACAGGAAAGGGACGTTACTCAGCGTCTACATCAACAGCTCTCAGTCCTTCCCTCAAAACAGGTGAGCTGAAATTCTGCAGAGCCAGCACCAATTACCCTCACTTCAACACAGGGCTCTCACAGCATTCGACACTCACACCAGTGCACAACCTCTCTGCTGTGCAAATCAACCCTGCACACGACAGGGTTTTAACCTGCCTATCCAAAAGCAGACAGTGCTTATCACTTCCCTTCCTTCTGTGGCTGTAGATCTTTAGTTCCTTCACCCTCACAGTTTTTTCTCCATCATCACATTAGACAAAAGGCACACAAATATCTGTTTAGATGTCTATCTTGAGTCCCCTGCTACTCTGTAATCTTTGGGATTGTTTTTTCCAGGCTGTATTGACAGTCCCAAACTTATTTTAAATTTTATTCCACATCTCTCACTCCATGAGCAACACCTTAATTCAAAGACACTGTATGACCTACACTTCCACTTTTCACTGAGTGCCTGTTGCAGTCACCCAAATTATCTTGTACTCAGGCTGCATTTTTAGCCTTGGGTTTTTTTCAGCTCTACAGACTATTATCTTTTATTCATCCCTACAAGCCTCCTCCTTCCACACTCCCCTCCCTACTATGACACTTGACTCCATTTCTGTACCACAACAACTTCCCCTTTTCTGCCTATAACTGTACATGAGATTCAGCTGTGCTGAAGTTGGCTCAGGCTGGGCTGACACAGACTGACGTGCCCTGGGACCAGAAGGAGTTGTAAAAGTCCCGCAGGTGACCCCACAAGTCACCAGTTTGCCTTCCTCACACTCCAGTGCTCTTCTATAATTCACGATTGTCTTTGCTAGTTACACGTGTTAAGAGTTACTCTACCCACTGAGACTCAATGCTTAATTCCTCATGGGAAAGCACCTTCTTCCTGAGTCTTTTTTCACATTATTGCCCATTCCTTATGGCACCTATGCTGTAGTGAGTCAGGAGAACGTGCCTTTTCATTACACTGCCATTATTAACAACCACTTCAATAACACTCCAACCATAACTGGCTCATAACACTGACCACGAATCTGTTCACACCAGGAACTAAGCCAGGAGCAGGGCTACAGCAGGGCAGCACAGAGGGCTCACACTGCACAGCTGCACCTCTGCAGAACCAGGGTGCACATCCCATTCGGGACTCTATCTGGGACACCGACTCCTCACCTGAGCACAGCTGTTCGATCTTCGTCAGCGTCAGCTGCAGAGACTCATTGATCCACGCCAGCATGTCATGTCGGCTCAAGTTATCGCTGGTCACTGAAGTAGAATACACATTCACTGCCATTTTCTGAAAGACACAACCAGAGGTGTGAGTGCCGCAGACGCCGGTCCCCCACGCTCAGGGGCTGCGCGGAGGTGGAGCCGCTTCCTTTCGAGCCTTCCCGACACACCAGCGAGCGCATCGCGACGGAGCTGCCCGCAGCCAACAGCTGGGCGGACCCTCCCTCCCCACGGCCGCCCGGGGCTCGGCTCCGCGATTGCCCAGGAAAAATTCGCACCGAGGCGCTCACGTGGGAACCGCTGAAAAGGAATCACGGCCGCGGCAAGTTACTCATCCCCTCTCTTCCCCCGCGCCACCGGGAACGGCCGGAACACTTCCTGCCCGGCTCCCGGTATCTCCCGCGGGATCAGCCCCGAGCGGCCGCTCCCCGCCCAGCCCCGCCGGCACAAAGCGGAGCCGCCGCCGCAGCTGCCGCCGGGCAGGGCCGCCCGCGCCGCGGGGCGGGGCACGGCCCGCTCATACCCCCCCACACACACAGACCCCCCAACCCATCCTCACCGCCACCCCGCCGGGCGCTCCGCTCCGCCACCGCACCCCCGCCCGCGGAGGGGCGCGGCCCGGCCCTGCAGGCCTCGCGCCGGTCCCCTCACAGCGGCGGCGCCCCGCCGGGCCGCCCCCCCCGTGCTCCCCCGGAGCGCGGGGTCCTCTCCCCCCTCCTCGTCCCGCTCCCGCGCGGCGGCCCCGGGCCCGGCCCCGGTACCTGCGCCGCGCTCGCCCCGTCGGCCCCGCGTTCAAACCGGCCCCGCCCGCCCTGACCGGGACCGCGTCACGCGCTCGCTGCGCGCCTGCGTCACGCGCGCGTCACGGCCCCGCGCGCGGAGCGCCGCGCGCCGGGACGGGCCGGCGAGAAAGGGGAGGGAGGGCGGGGGCGGTTGCTAAGGGGCGGGGCCAACAGCCGCGTTGCTATGGGCGAAGGCCACGCCCATCCGCCCTGCCCCGCCCCGCGGGCTCGCCCGCCATTGGCGGAGCCGGTGGCCCCGCCCACGCCGAGGGGTCCCGCGTGCCCGAGGGGTCGCGCGGGGATCGGGAACGAGGGAGCGGCGGGGGAGTGTCGGTACCGACCCCCGGGTACAGCCGGGACCGACCCCCGGGTACAGCCGGGACCGACCACCCTGCACCAACCACCCCGCACCGAGCACTAGTTACCTACCCTCCGGTACAGCCAGCACCGACGCCCCGGTACCGATCACCGGGTACCGACCCCCCAGTACCGACCACCTGGCACCGACCACCCAGCTACAGCCTGGCCCAGACCCCAGCACAGCCCAGCCCAGACTGATGGGCTCTTGTGTTTCAATCTGAAATTAAGGGCATTTTTTCTGAACTGGTAGAATTGCACAGTCCTGCTGCCACCTGTGCAATCCATCTTGTGGATGGATGGCTTGAACTTGTAAGATACACATTTATTTTCAGTTATGTGGTAAAAGCTGAGATGTCAAGGAGAGGTAAATTATTATGCCTGGCTGATTTCATGATTGAGTTCTTTCTTACTGGTTCACCAGATCTTTGGATAATGAGACAGATTTCAGATATTTTATTTTTTTTTAGAAAAACAACCTTAGTGTTATAAGCAATTGACTGACCATAACTAGGTGTTGGTCAGAGCTGATGGGGCTTTGAACAACCTGGTGTAGTGGAAGGTGTCCCTGCCCATTAGCTTATATTTCTATTTGGGATAGACATCTTCACTGAGTAGCTGCAGTTGATTCCTAGCCCAGCCAGGGATCAGACTCCCCTCTACAGCCTGACCTCTACCACCCAGCACAGCCAGGACCGGCCACCTTGGTGTCACTGGGTGTCACCTCAGCAGCAGTGGGGAAGGGCCATCCCGGCTCCCCAGCTGTGCCCCTCCTCCTGCTGTGAACCCCCTTTTATTCACCCAATAAAGACAGTCCAACCATACAGAAATACTCCTTTTTAATCAGACATGATAAATGGTAAACTGTCAACATGGATCCCCTTTCTTTCCCACGTGGAAACAAGTGGAATCATGTGGACGAGAAAGAGTTGGGAGTTTCCACACTCCGGATACAAAAAAACATGAAAAATGTGTTCAAAACGATACATTTCTTTCATTTTTAGAAGATTGTACAAAAACCCGCAACATGTTCAACATTAAAAATCCTTAACCTAAAAAAATAGCACCAGGGAGTTAGAAACCTTTAAAAAGTATTAAAAAGGCATTTCTGAAATCCCCCTCCCTTAACATTTTATAAACACATAATAAAAGGCGGCTCTTAACAGGGAAAAACATTTCAAGGAAGACTTGTCTACTACAATTCTCATCAAGTGAGCTTAATGCCAAGACAATTCTCATTCCTCTTTTATCTTTGTTTACTTTCCCCAAGTCCTTTTTTTTTCCCCTCATCTATTTGTTTTCCTTTTGATCAGATAGGAAAGGATGTGAGATTTGGAGTATAAGATCAGGGATGCTGTGGAGTGGAGGACACGTTTGGAAAAATCAAACCCATCAGAGGGGTCCAGAGCAGAGGACGCTTGTCACCCACAGGCCCCATGCTGGGCTCTGAACAGGGACTTCAAGGAGCTGGGATGAGGAATTAGTGTTGTGGTTGGGCTCCAGCTGGACACAAGGATCAGAGGTTGGCGAGGGGTTCAAAACCAGCCAGTGCAGCAGTGGCAATGCCAAGGCTTCCCAAACACCTTCAGCACACACAGAACCCACCCTGCCATCTTCCCAGCCCAGGGGCTGGTGACAAGACAGTGCTACATGTCCCCAAGAAGTGACATGGAGCAGCTCACTTGGCTCTCTCCAGCGTTTTCTTGACTAAGGTGTGGGGCTTGAATATATGTCATGGAGAATGAACCCCTCATGGAAGACTATTAGAGTAACCTCCGGGTTAAAACAGGAAAAAAAGCCTTTAAACTATGTGGGCTTCCTTTTCTGCTCCTTCCCAAGTACAGCCTTGGGGTGGAGACCAAGAGAAAATGATCCTCAGAGCTGGGGTGGAAAGCTGCACACAAGGGTGGAAAATGAGAGGCTGCCATCCTCCACCAGCCGAGACAGGGGTGCCAGGGGGTCCCAGCGTGTCAGAGAGGTAGAAGGAGCTGGGAGGGAGGCCCTCACTTCCCACTGATACTGTACAACACCTTGCAAGACAGCCTAGCACCAATCAGGGGGGTGGGTTGGCCCATGGTTTGGACCCAATCAATTATGAGAAGGCACTGAAGGGCTCTGCCAGAGCCAGGTGAACAGCAGAGGTAGGGGAGGACAGAGGAGAGGGGAATGTCACAAGCTGTTTCAGTGCATTGAAATGTGCATTGGAATTCAGAGTCTTTAGAGATGCCTGCTGAGGCAGCAGCCCAGTGGCTAAGGAAAACCTGACGGGATTGGAGGCAGGCACCCACACCTCCCTGGATGCTGACAAAGGGCACAGCATGCCCAGGGCTTCATGGACAGCGGGACAGTCAGTCTGGCAAAGGAAGGCAATCAAAAGTGAGCACACTGGTGGCTGCAGGAGATTCCAGTTTGTGCGTACATCCACGGGAGCCCCCAGGGCACTGCCAGGCTGGGGCTGGGCACACAAGCACCAGCAGCATCCCACCTCTGCCCAGGGATGCACAGGGAGACAGGTGCAGAGAGGAGGAGAGGTCCAGCCCCTGCCTGCATCCCCCCAAAACCCCCCAGCAGTGGCAGTGCCCACAGTGGGGGGACACACACAGCCCCCCCCACAGCTTTCCCACTTCGCTGCCCCTCAGGGTCCACTCCCCCTGCCCACAGTACGGGATGGGCACGGGAAAGAGCAGTGCTGCACTCCTGGACCTTGCACCCCCCATAGGGGTCAGGTGGGATTTTCCCTGTAAGGAACCCCCTGCCCCACAGCCACTGCTGCTCGGGTTCATGACATGGTACGTGACATTTGGGGGGGCTGTGGTTTGAGGATGCCATTGACCACCACGCTGTCCTTCCTGCTGACATACCACATTCATTTGGGAAATGGATGCTCCAAGAACATCTTCCTTTACAGACGCTGGAGACCAAATCCTCCCTGCTCCAATTACTGTGTAAGCTTTCAAGCCATTCAGCAGGATTTTAAAATGTAAGGAAAGGTTTTAGATGCTTTAAAAAGGAAGTAGTGAATATCTGTAAACTACAGCCAAACACATAAAACAGTATTTCTTCAGTTCTAGCTAGAAAAGTAATTCTATCACCTCACAGTTCAGTTTCAGCTACATTCAGGTCTAGGAATCTCCACATTCTTATGTAATGCCTTAAAAGCAGCAATAGACATTAAAACAACAAAAGTAAAGTTTATAAAAAAAATAAAAATAAAAAAGATTTGGTTTCTGTATAATCATGTGTTCAGTGTGTAACCTGAGCAGGGTCCCCTACACCTGCTGCTACGGTTTGGGGGTTTTTGGCAGTTGCTTCAAGAGGTTTTGTTTGTTTAGGAAAAGCATTAATTCACTGTAGTTCAGGTTTGCCTGCAGCTCCCTGGCAGCTGCCCCCACACTGACTGCTCAGCAAGTGGTGACTTCCCAGCTCCAGGCTAAACCAGAATAGTTAATGCTGTGGAGGAGACTCCCCGTCTCATCAGTGATGCATAGAGCTCCTGCGCTGGATAATTAAAGCTCCTTGTCCATCATTTCCTACTGCCGTTAGTTCCTTTAAAGAAGTGACCCTGCCAGGTTCTTTGGTTACAGACGGCTCTCCCTGCAGGGCCAGGCTGCCGTGGTCCCGCAGCACGTGGCCGGGGAGGGACGGGGCCCTGGCAGTCTGGCAGCCGTGCCCGTCCCTCTCCCACCACAGCAGCGGCGCTGTGCACCTTTACCAGAGAGACGAGGGACACTCGGGCTTGCTATTCACAGGCAAAGTAATCCTTGAGCGGGGAGAAGAGGTGCCGGATGACCGGGACGCTCCACGATTTCTCCAGCAGCTTCTGGTGAGCCCCGCGGCCGATGTTGGAGACGTCCGTGTAGTGGAGGGGGAAGCCAAAGATCCTGAGGAGCAGAGGCAGGAGGTGGTGGGTGAGACAGAGCAGAAGCAGGAGCCCCTTTCACTGGCCAGCCCTGCTCCTGAGCCACCTAGAGACACCAAGCACCTGGAATCTCCTATGGGAAGGGCACTCTGCTCCCCAGCGGGGTCAGAGCTCCACATGGCCTGAGCAGTGTCTTTATTCTGAATGGGGATGGGCAGTGGCAGCCCACCTTCCCCTGTGCCCTCTGTAGCTTTTCCTGGCAAGGCTTTTGGAGAAGCCCTGTGCCAGTGGCATCCTGCCTGCCTCTGCTCAGCAGCACCTCTGCAAGCACCACTCCAGGCTACTCCATGGAGAGAGGAATGAGCAGCTCTGGGTAGCTGAGTCATGGGCTGGGCACTTCCCTTACAATCAGATGAAAGTCCAAGAGCCATTTCACATGACAAAGGCTCGGGAATTGTTATTTTACTTTCAAATGCCTTTAGCTCAGTGTTAACTCCAACAAATACTGGCAATTTAAATAAACAAACAAAAATATTTAACCCCAGTCTGTGTTTACCGGCCAAAGCATCCGCTATGCAAAAACTTCAGGTTCTGTCACTAGGACTATTTGGTGTGCAGGATTGCTCCAATTGGATTTTATCTACTCAGAGTCCTTCTGTTGTTTTTTTGCCATGAATTCAGGGTGTGAATAGGGTTTGGAGGAGCGCAGTGCTGTCGTGCTTTGCCTGAGCAGCTGCCTGCTGCAGTATGAGCTTCCCCACGGCACTACACCCAGCTGAGCCCCAGTGGCTGCTTGGTTCACCTCCAGCAAACCCCCCACCATGGCACAGGGCACAGGGCTGCCATACAGCACCCCCACATCAGCCTAAGCCTTACACCAAGGCTGGGGCACATGTGCACCCCCCACCAGACCCACCACACAGCACCCTGTGCAAGCCCCATCATTCTTCCTTCCACATGCCTCAGGTCCAGGGCACAGGACACTACTACACTTTTCCCACAGCCATTGCTCATTAGTAAGTGCATTAATTATCATGTGCACATCACTGCAGGGAAGCTGCCCCGTGCAGGAGCTGCAGCTCCTCACTCCCAGGAGCTGGGCTTTGAGCCAGGGAGGCAAAAAAAGCCACATGAACATGAGCAGCACAACCCAACAAAAACTACAGTAAGAGATTCAAGAGGACAGCAAAGGACTGATTGATTACCTGTCCATCCCCGGGAGGTTGCCCCAGAAGTAACGAGCTCGGTGGGCAGCCGATATCTTGATCGCATTAATCATAACTGGGTTACACTGGGGGCCAGAGAGGGGGGAAATAAAAGTTAAAGGAGATGTGAGTTTAGTCCTCTCCTGTAGGAAAAGCCATTCCCACTGCACTGCAGGGACTTAAAAGTCTCCAGCAAATCCTCCTGAGGATGTAGCCCCCACAAACCCTGTTCCACACCACAGCACATCCTGGTTGGCCACATAGGCTCCCAGGTCATGGCCATGGCCAGCAGCTAGTAACCCTCACAGGGTGCTCAGTGCTGGTTCCCCTGGGCCAGGATCAGAACTGTCAGCCTCCGATGGGGCTTTTACACCAGGGTCCCTGCTGACTCACAGCCCGTCCTGGCTACCACAGAGTTAAAAACCCTTCCCAGTCCCTGACCTCCCTCTCCCTGGAAATAACAGGCATTGCTCTGAACAGATGCTTTCTTCAAGGCTGGCAAAACCCCTCCCCCGGAGGACTAGTGCTTGGGTTTGACCTGCTGAAAGCCAGAGGGGAGGATCCAGAGCCAAGACTAAACTTGATTCCTCGGCATGTGCACCAGGCAGGGGGTTTTCCAGCACTGAGGCCACAGGAAACCATAGCCAGACCCTCACAGCTGGCACACCCTGCACAGCCCAGCAAGTGTCACCTGCTCTGACGCCTTTCCCGCCGCCAGCAGCAATTCCTACCTCCAGAAACCGGGAAATGTCCCTCTTGTCATTGACCCTCATGGCCACTACATTCTCAAACATCCAGAAGAAGGGCCGCTCCTCGCCTTCCTTGGGACGGGCGTAGTTGAGCAGGTGGTAGAACTCGAAGAACAGCCTCCCACTTCCTTCTGCAGGGAAAAAGCAGAGCAGCAGGTTGGGACCAGCTGAGGCACCGGGAATGGGGTGCCGGGAGGGGCCTGGCTGCCCTCTCCACCACAGCGGGCATGGAAACAGCCCGTGCTCTGCAGGTGCCACAGGGAGCCACCACCAACACAGCCTGGGGCTGAAACACTTCCCTGGGCTGTCAGGTGGCTCCATGACCCAGGGACACCCCGGGGTACCCAGCTCAGCAGAGGTGAAGCAGCCTTACCAAACAGCGCCTTCCTGGCTGGATTGACAAGGGAGAGGTCGTCACAGGGGGTTCCACCGATCACCAGGTCAAAAGGACCCCACTCCTCAATCTACAGGGAACGGACACACCAGCCCATTAGGAAATGCCACGGAAGTGGGTCTCTCCTCTCCGGTGGGGTAGGGGACAAGCCCATCCCAGGGCTGGTGGGGTGAGACCCATACGCCCACGGTGCCACATCCCCCGGATCCCCACAGAAGCAGAGCTCACATTTCTCTTGGTTATGTTCCTGACATCGTGCACGTAGGTGATGTTGCCCTCGGGCCGCCGCACGGTGCCCGCCGTGATGGGGTCGTCGCCGATCTCCGAGGCGATGTACTTCTCCACTTGGATGCCCAGGTCCTTCAGCACCATGTACCCTGCCAACGGACAGAGGTCTGAGGTCGCACTGCTCTCTTTAGCCTCCCGGTCTCCTTCGTCAGCAGAGCTCGATGTGGCCGCTCCTGGATGTCCTAGGTGGGGGCAGTCACACAAGACTTCAGGATGAACAAACTTTTTTTTGACCCATTCCTCCAGGCACCGTTTGCTCCCAGAAAGCAGAATGCCAGAGCTGAGTGAACTGAGCCAAACCAGTTGCCCTCAGGTATTTCACCAGAGGCCAGGTTACTGTTGTTCCCACAGCTCTGGCTTCTCAGGGGAACCAGCCACCTGAACCTTTGTGAGCAAAACTCCCATGCCTGCCTCCCTCCTTCCATCCATCCCTCCCTTTCTCCTGCCCTCAACCCCTGCTGATAGGGATCCCTCCTGTCTTCACCCCCTTCTCCCCAACAAGCTTTCAGAGACAGGTTTGAGTCCATGGAATGATTCATCTCTGCTGCCCAGTGCTGAAAAGCCATCAGGCAGTGCTTCCCTACGGCCTCACCTGTTGCTATCCCATCGAACAATGAGAGCACTCGGATTGGTCTCCTCTTTGCTGGCGGGACTGTTGGGTAGATTTTGGGTGCAGCCTGCAATGGAAACAGCCATGAAGCCCCAGCCCTGGCAGTGCTGCATCACCTTATGAGGCCAAACTTCAGCTCTGCAGGCATCACCTCTGCCTTCAGGAGAGCACCTGCAGGGCCAAGAGCCCAGCACCCTTGGAGAGGGTGAAGGAACAAGACCGAGGCAGAGGGAAGAGGAATTCCAAGCCACTTGCCCCGGCCTTCATGACCCTCTTTCCCACACCCCAGCGTGCCAGGCTCCCTGCCCGTAGCCCTTACATATTCCTGTCCCTTGTCACTGGTGAAGAAGTCCAGCAGACGGGCGTTCCAGTCCTGCCGGCGCTGCAGCAGCCCGTAGTTCTGCTGCGGTGAGCACATGTAGCAGTTCCAGGGCTCCTGCACTTTTGCTCTGGCCGACGTCCCTCGCCCCACCAGCACGTCCAGACACTCCACACAGAAGCACCTGCCCGAACCACAACACCTCGTGCTTGTCACCTCAGGGACCCCTCTGGGTCACCTCAGCCTCTCCTGGAATCTCCCCCCCAATGCACCAGAGCCCCTGCCCTGTTCTACAGGATATTTTTCCAGGTGGTACCTTGGTTTTTAGGGCTGCTAACACAAGCCAGTGACCCAAGGCATGGGTAAATCTCCTGCCAACCTCCCCATGGCTTATTCAGGTGCTGCCTGGCTCAGTAGGGAGAAGTAGGCTGTGCTGGGACATGCTGCATGGCAGCCAGCTGGGGAGCAGCACAGCCCCTGCACCCAGGCTCATGCAGGACCCTGCTCCCCACAGCTCCCTGGAATGATGCCAGGGCCACAGCCCCAGGAGCAGAGACACGGGGCCCACCTGCAGCAGCTGGAATTGCTGCAGAGCAGCAGCTCCTTGCCCGCGCAGCAGACAGCACAGTAGGACTGGTAACCATCTTCATCATACATGTAGAAGTACTCCAGGAATCTATCCTAGTGAAAGGACAGTCAGGAGGAGAGAAGGACAAAGAATCAGGAGTTGTGCTCAGAGGGTGAAAAGAGAATGCAGCTTTGGTCCATCCCTGGTACCCACCCAGAGCTCGGAGATGCACATCCTTGGTGTTTCAGGTGGCAAGAACATGCTGAGGGACAGCCCCGTGGAGGACACAGCATGGCCAGGACCTGGCACAGCCACCCCCTGTCCCAGCAACACTGGATAGATCCCAGCCCCATCCTCCAGCCCCAGCACTGCAGCACTTACCCTGCACGTCTGGCAGAGGCCTCCTTTGAACAGTGGGTGGAAGGTGGCCGGGTTCCTCCTCCCGCAGGACAAACAGCTGTCTGTGGGACAGAGAGAGCTGTGTTCACCCAAGGCATGGAGATGTCAGGGCAGGGCATCCCCAAACCCCCACCCCACTTCAGGCTGCAGAGGCTGGAGCATCCCCTTGGAACAGTGTCTGGAACAGCCTGCCCTTGGAACGGCATCCAAATGGGGTCTGCCCCTGGAACCGCATCCATATCTGGCTGTGGCTCCCCATGAAGGATCTGCACAGCACCCTGTTCCCCTCAGCACAGAGGGACCCCAGCACCATTCCATCACAGCGCTTTCCCCCCTCCTGGATGGTGCTGTTGAAAAGGAACCCATGACCCTTGCTGAGCACTGCCAGCCAGGATCCCCATCACCCCACGCCTCTTCCCAAGGGAGACAGGACCAGTGATTACCTTCCAGCTTCCCGCTGTTGTTCGTAACTTCGGAAACCATTTGTTCTTTATAAAATTTAAAAAAAAAAAAAAGAAATATTTATCATTCCTTACATTAGAAACTCTAAATGAATTCTGCTTACAGCTGCTTTTTTTCTTGCATTTAGAACTGGTCCAGCTTTGCTGAGCATCACACGGAGAAGGTTGGCCATGGGCATGTTTTAAATTTTGTGGAAAAACCCACATCCTTTCACTGAAGGAGATATTAGAGCTCAGCATAGCAGCTCATGGATCATGCCCAAGCTGAGCCACTAGTGGAGCCCAGCCCCTATCTTGAGCTGTGTTTGCTGGTGTCTAATAAGGCACAACTGAGCACTATGGGATCACAAAAGCTTCTGCCTTCAGGAACCAAGCTCATGGCCACCAGGGAAGAGCCAAGCCCTTTCCCAGAATGGTTTTCCAGTGCTCTCAAAGTGCGCAGCCCAGGCCAAGCCACTCCCCAGCTCTCTCTGTTGGTTACCTCGGGTCTGGTCCTCTTCCACGCGCTGCTCCTTGCCATTGTTGCAGGGGTAGCTCTTCAGCCTCTTGGTGGGGGGATACTGTTCAAGGGACAGCACCTCCTCCGTCCCATTCCTCAGCACCCCATTTTCTGCAAGAGAAAGGCAGCTCCCTGGGCACGAGCCTCCAGCCCCAGGACCACCTCAGGGCAACGAGAGACTTCTCCTGCCAAGCCCTGCCAGGTCCCACCCCAGCCACAAGCAGAACCTGTCCTGGCCACTTGGGCTCCCCACTCATGGCACAAGGCTCAGCCAAGTCAGATTTCCAGGAGCAAGGGCATGGGGAGTGCTTTGCTCTGGCTTTATGCAAAGTCACTGTCAGGGACCCAGTGAGGAGCTCCAGGACCACTTTGGGACCAGAGTGGCACGGCCACAGCACAGGGTGAGCAGGCTCAGCTGGGGCCAGATACTGGTGGCTGCTGACCACACCAGCCCCCTGCCAGTGCCATGCCAGCCCCCACCCAGCTGATGCCACTGCCTCACCTGAGGTTTTGGGTGGCTGCAGTCCCTTGAGCCCCAGGGGTTTGAAGCCAGTGATTGCCCAGTCAATCATCGGCTTCAGCTGCTCCTCCAGCGAGTCCCTGGGGCCAGTTGTAAACGTCTTCCCCGACCGGCTCCGGGCAACCTGCCGAGAATGGACAGCATGGGATAGGGTGACGGGGTGGTCTCTCTCTGGGAAGCAGCCACACGCCTGCCAGGGCCACAGCCCCAGGCCCCCTCCCCATCCGACACACACGGGTGTGGGGTTTGGTGGCCCTGGGATGGCAGCAGCTGATGGATTCCTGCTCTGGGTGTGCCCTCGGCTGTGCTCTGGTGCCTCCATCCCTGCAATGAGCCCATCCGTCCTTCACCAGCCTTAATGGAGCCAGGAGCAGGGACAGCCCAGCTCCAGCTCTTGCCCAGACTCTTGCTCCCTGGCAGGGAGGCAGAAGAGGTGCCTGTGGATCTGCAGCCCTTTATCCCAGTGTGTGATGCACCCCCTGGATGTGGATTGGACACGCGGGTGCTCAGCACCAGCCCTGACTTTAAAGGGCACCTGGCACTAGCCCAGGACACCTCCAGCCAGCCTGGCCCTGCTGCTGTGATGCTGCTGTGTCCGAGACAGTGCAGGGAGCCTGGCCTGGGGATCTGGAGCAGCGAGACCCTGGAGCAGCAGCAGTTACCCCTGAACCCTGATGATAAGCAGAGTTTGGCCCCACAGCTGCACTTGCAAATAATCCTAGCAGAGAAAGGACTATTTTCCTGAGTCCCAGCCCGCTGCCTCCAAGTCCAGCTGGTTTAGCTGGCACCTCACTCACCCACCCACCCCTGGTGGTTACCTCCAGGGCATGGTAAATGGCACGGCGGTAGGACACCAGCTTATTGAACGTGGAAGAATTGAAATGCTGCCTAAAGGCCATCAGTCCCACCAACTTGTCCGCAGAAACCTGTGAGAGAGTGACAAGAGCTCACCAGCGGGACAGGACAGGAATGTCCTGCCCGGCCATTTCCCCTCTGGCACTGCATTCCCAGCCCGACTCTGCAGCACCACAGCCAGGGGAGGAAGCCCAGCGGCAGCATGACAAGGACAAGGACGGGTGGGTTGCACCCTCTGCCGGCACTGTGACACCAGCACGGCCCTTCCCTCCCTCCCGCCTGCAGCATGAGAGGGTTGGATATCCTGGTTGCATATTAGAAAAAGGTTTTTCACTCGGAGGGTGGTCAGGCACTGGAACCGGGTCCCCAGGGAAGTGGTCACGGCATCAGCCTGCCAGAGCTCAAGAAGCAGTGTTGGACAACACTCTTGGGCACATAGTGGGATTTCGGGGTTGTCCTGAGCAGGGTCAGGAGTTGCACTCAATGATCCCCATGGGTCCCTTCCAACTTAGGATATTCTGAGTCTGTGGGGGGGTCATGGGTCTCTGACGGGACATCCCTAACCAGGCAGAGCTCCTGGGCAGCCCTGGAGCCCAAGGCCTGGACAAAACCCTGCGTAGGGGCCAGGCATATGTTCCCACTGCTGGACACTGTCACCAACCTACAGTGTCCAATTATTAGTTACAGACACCAGAGCCATGAGAGCCCGCCAAGGCCTGGCTATTGAACACCAGGGTGCCTGCCCAGGGAGGCTGCAGGGCGCACACACACCCCACAGGCAGCCCCAGGAGTGGGGCAGAAATGTGCAGGGGAGGGGGTTTGGAGCTGGGCACAGCAGGCAGGGGCAGACAGCAGGCTTACCTCGGAGAACTTTCCATCTCCAAACCACTGCACCCACCGCATGCCTGACACAGCCTGGCGCTTGGCTGTGGCTTTGTGGGAGACAACAATCGCAGGCCACCAGGAGAAACCTTTGATCTTCCCCCAGACGAGCTCCCCAATTCCAAATTCCTTCCCATCCTGAAAGCAAGAGGTGACAACACAGATCTGCCAAAAAGCACAAACACCCTATTTTATCTGGGCAGCCCTGCGGGAGAGCCCTGGAGCACAGGGGATGGACCCAGAGCACCTTGAAGAGTTGCTCCACTGTGTGTGTCGCATACTTGGATATCTGTGCAGACAGGCTGCACCCCCTCCTTCAAGCACATGGCCCAGCACCTCCTGGCAGCACTGGCTCCCAGCCCTGCACCATGCCAGAGCTCAGTGGGGAGGTCTGTGTGTGCCAGTCCCACGCTGAGCCCATGCCTGGCACACGGCATGGTGCGTGCTCTGTCCTGCACAGCCCTCCTGGCACCAGGCCCTGTGCGTGTCCACTCCTGCCTGCCCTCCCAGGGTCTCTGCAAACACTGGGAAGCCTTGCCCCGAGGTTGCTCCCTGGGTGCCCTGAGGTTCCTCCTTGGCACAGGGCAGCCCGTTCACAGGGCTCACAGCTCAGCCCGTCTGGCTGCAGCCCAGGGAAAGGGTTCCCACCCACCCATCCCTCTTGTTCCCACTGAGGAGAGCAGGAAACAGGGCAGAGTGAAAACAGAGAGATGAAAAAGAACCAAGAATTTTGATGTGACCCATTGAGGGCCAAGCTGGGTGCTGTACCTGAGGAGGGCACCTCACCTCTGCCTGCAGAGCCCTCCTTTCCAGCTTTGTTCTGCAATTAGGCTCCTAATTATGCAGCAAGATGCAATTGCCCAATTCCTGCAAGTCTGGGGCCTTGCCTCGTGGCCCGCAGGCGCTGAATCCCGCTCTGCAGCCCCAGCAGCTTCAGTTCTCTCCAGCATCCCCGACAGAAATGTTTTCTGCACATGCAACTGCCTGTCTCAGCGGGGCACAGCACGGCAGGGCACATGCCACGCATGCGTGTCTTGGGGGGCCCGTGTGTGGCACTGGAGGCAGCTTGCCAGGACTGATCCCTAAAGTGTCCCTGGGCAGTAAGCTGCCCCCACAACCTGAGACCATCACACCCCAGGCACACAGGGAAGGGCAGGCAGGGAAGGGGAGACAGGAGAAGCAGCAGTGAGATTTCCAGAAGTTCCCCACGCCTTCAGGCTTGGGACAAGCCAGGGAGGTTCATCCTTGCCCCACACCACCGTGGGTGCAAGAGCAGAGTTCAACCCCTCCGTACCTGGTATTCCAGTGCCATCCCCGCGTCTCTGCTCTCTGACTCCTCAGCCCCCAGCTCGGCAGAGCCATTCTGCCCCTCCTGGGAGCTGCTGCCGGAGAGTGTGCTGCTGCTCTGGGATGAGTCCCGGGAGTCCTCCTCCGTCAGGTCGATGGTCAGCGGTGTGGACACGGCTGAGCGACGCCTGGAGCCCTGCATGGCAAAGGGAGAGGAGCGTCAGTGCCGCAAGGAGAGGGGCAGTGGGGAACAGAGACCTGCCCCGCATCATCCCCCAACCTCACAGTCGGGATTGGAGAAGGGGAGCCAGTGATTGAAGGCACTGCTGCTGCCATGAGCAGAGAGGAGAGCCCTTAACAGGAGATTCTGCAGGAGAACTGCTCAGCTCTTACTTGTCACACCCAAAGCAAATGGCACACCACTGCTCTCTCCCCTTTTCCTGTCCCAAATCCACTGCAGGGTTTTCAACACACCCAAATCATAGAAAGGGCAAGAAACAGCAAACTCACTCCTATCTACATAGGGGAAACTGAGGCCCTGAGAGTCTGCACCACGTCCAAAGCTGCTTGGCCAGGGTGCAGCAGGAGTGCAGGTCTCTGGAGCCCCAGGGAAGCCCCAGGGAAGCCCCAGGGAAGCCGTGACCCCACGCAGACCCGCAGACCCTCACCCGCACAGGAGTTCGCAGGTCCCTGAGAGCCTCCACACTGCTTCGGTCCTTGATCCTCGTCACGTGCCGGGCCTGCCCTGCCTGGAAGATGAGGTGGACTGTGGGCTTCTGCCTGAGGCTGCTCTCCCACCCAGCGCTGCCCCGGGGCTGCACCTGCCACCAGAACAGAGAGGTGCCATGGCAGGGGTGCCCTCCCCATGCAGGACACGGACAAGCCTGTGCTTCACGGGGCCGAGCACCAGCGGCACTGGAGCCCTGGGGAGGGCAAGAGGGCTGCTGGATCACCTTGTGCTGAGCCCCTCCGGGCAACCATGCACTCCACAGAGTCTCTGCAGGGTTCAGGAGCATCCATTGCTGCAGCCCTGCATCTGGCATGACTGACAGCAGCAGGAGCCACAGCCAGGAGCACTGGATGCCAGGAGAGCCACAGGCCCCAGCAGAGCACCCCTCGGAGGTACAGACCCACTCACATACTCATGGATGCTTTCACACACCCGTGGGTGCTTCCTCTCACAGCTGGCCCTGCAGCAGAGCCCTGCAGCACCCTGCAGCAGCCCTTCCCCAGCAGTCACAAACACAGTCCAGCCCAGGCATGTTTCCTGCATCCGGCATAAACGAGGCTCAAAATTACATGAGATTTTGCAGTGAAGAGCCCCTGAACCAAACATAGTGGGAAAGCTGAATTTTCACCCACTGGATTTATGGCTCTTTCTTTTGGAAGCTGCCTCATCTCAGGCAGATCTCCAACCTTGGGGTTTGTTTCTAACTCAAAACAATAAAGAAAGAAGGCAAAAATGCTTCCAGATCCTGGAGGTTTGTCAACCTAGTCAACAAAAGAGGGTGGGTAAAACTGGGGTGCAGCCCCAAGGCAGCTAAAAGCAGCCCAGCCCAAGAGAGGGAGACACGAGATGGTTCAGTCCATCAATACAGACAAGACTTTTCAGAGAAAACATCAGCATAATAATTATGATAATTATTAGGCTGCTGCAACACATAGTGGGCATCACTGCATCTCACACCACCCCCTCCTGCTGCTGTGGTCTCATGTAAATCAGGAATTTAAAAATTACAATATTACACTGGTAAATGAGTATTGCATCCATCACTGGACTGTTCCCCCAGCACAAGAACAGCCCAGAGGGAAAGAGATGACAATTCTGGCACTGGATGCCCCCACAGACAGCCCATAAAGAGCAGCCTAGGTGATATCTTACCTTCTGCACCCCCGCCAGGCCAAGTGGCCAGGCCAGGTCCTCCTTGGAGAGGTCTCCATTGCTGTCCTTCTTGTTCTGCAGAGGCAACAGCGCGAGGTCCATGGGATCTGTGCAGGGACAAGGCAGAGCAGCTTTAGGCTCTGCAAGCCCTCCTGGCTGTGTCCCCACATGCCTCTGCATGTCCCACTGCTCTTAAGAGCATGTCATGATTTGGAGAGACAGAAATCTCATCTTGGAGAATTGTGGCCAGGAGCAGAGACAAGTGGTGTTCCCAGGGCTCCCCATCATGGCACCACACCCCCGGATCATCCACCTGTCCCCAAAACTGGGAGAGACCAGCAGCAAGTGTGGTGACATTCTTATCTACTTCTTAGTTCCTGGAAGCTCAGGGGCACAAGCCAGCTATTCAGGGCTTGTCAACAGGTCATTTAAAACAGGACCTTGTTTACCCAAGAGGTAGGATTTAGGAAGCCCAGACTGGAGCATCCCAGGAGCAGTGGCACCCCTCAGGCTGGTGGGGCTCCCCCTCTTCCCTTACTCCAGGGGATTCAACTACCAAGGGGCAGAGCCAGCCTCCCACTGTGGCACCCATTTCCACAGCCACGTCATGGCCTGGATGTGCTACAAGATTGCAGAAACCCGGTGGAGTCACATCACGGAGGGACCCTGGCCATGGCTGCAGCACTGCAGCCCCCCCCCGGCCACAATTCCTCAGGACAGTGGCTGGGAGATCCCAAACCCCGTTTATCCTTGCACATCCCAGGCAGGGTGCATTCTGGGCACACCGTGGTGACCCTCACCTGGAGTACTGGGCTTCCCATTCGCCTCCAGTACAACGCTGGGTGTGGCAGGATTGTTGCAGTCCCCATTGAGGAGGATCAGCTTTGCCCTGCAGTCTGCCTCGTCCTGCCCGTGGCTCTTGTCCTGTTTCATGGTCGCCTGTGGAAGCCAGAGTGGAAAGGAAATTCAGCCGCGAAGGAAGACTCAAGGAGGGCAAAGCAGACAGTGTGACCTCCTAGAGCCAGCCACAACTTCACGCCCTTAGCACCGGGGTCTGACTGGAGACGCATCTGGAGGGGTCCCGGGAGCTAAACAGCACTTGGACAAAACCTCCCCACAAATATGGTGGCCCTAAAGATCCACCAGCTCCGGCTAACAGAGGCTCCAGACACAATCCACACATCTTTAGGGAACACCAGGCTTTTCCCCACCATCCGTATGCTGTGGAACGCTCCTGGACTCAGTGCTGCTCAGCCCCACCTCGCTCTGCAGGACCCAGTCTGGAGGGGAGCTGCACTTCCCTGCCACCCTGCAGAAACCAGGGAACAGCCCACCCCAGGGGACAGCCCACCCCCAGGGCACCATTACGGCTGCCCAGGCGTGGGTGGGCTGTGCCGGCAGCAGCAGGACAGGCAGGCAGCACGCCCGCCATGAGGGGCAAAGTCCTGGAGCCTGCAGCCAGTTAAACTCCCCCAAAGGGAGAAAACTCCTCCTGCCCCCCACTCCTGGCCTCAGCTTCCCTGCCCCAGGGCGAGGGGGCAGGGCAGGGGGCTGTGCAGCAGCACCCCCTGCCCTGGTGCCCCCCTGCAGAGCTGGGGCTCCCCTTGCCTGAGCTCAGACGCCTCCGCCTTCCCTTGGGTGCCCTCCCCGGATCCTGTTTTTGGAAGTGGAAGCTCTGGCTCTCCTAGAGGCACCCGGACGCAGTGAACAACGCTGCCTCATTGCTGGGCTATGGGTCTGTGCTGCAACTTGCCCCTTCGGCAGCACAGTCATTTCAGGAGCATGCAACGCAAGAGCCGAGGAGTACACAGGGCTTTGCCCACCTACAGCCCTGTTAGGAAGCCAAAGCAACACCCCCCCAGCCTCAGAGAGACCCCACCTCCAGCCCACCGTCCCTTTTGCGTCACTCTCACTCCACATTGCCTCCAACCGCTGCCCTAACAATTGAGATTACTGCTTTGAAATCATCTGTCAGCACCTCTGGCTAACAAAGACCAGTTGGGGTTTGATGTTTTGGATGCCGAGGGCTGAGTTAGAAAACCTGCTAACACCCAAACATGAAGGAAAACAGGTGTCCGGTGCCCACCTCCCCAGGCAGAGACCCCCATGCACATCCTGCCTCCCCCCTCAACCAAGGGAGAAGGAGAGAAATTGCACCAAACAGAGTCTGAAGCCACATAACCCCCTTACAGCTGCGTGGGGGATTTCTGTGTGCAGAAATCCCACTGCTGCAGCACATCTGCTCCCAGACCTGGCAAACAATTCCTGGGAGCTGCCCAGACTCGCTGCCTGCCCCCAGTTCAGGTGGACGGTCCCACATGGCCCCGGATGCAGCAATCCACCCCAGCACAGCACAGCTGGGTCAGCTCCTCCTGGTCTGCTCCCCTTCCCCAGCCCACAGACGCTGCAGAGCAGCTGCAGCCATGGCTAGCAATGATTCTGCCACCAGAACCAGCAAATCTCCCTAAACAATAGTGAATCACTCTTGGGAATCCCTACAGGGAGGTGTGAGAGGATATGCTGCTCTCCCAGCATGAGGGTGACCCAGAGGGGACAGGCAGATGAGGCAGGATGAGGCAGGTAAGATTCAGGAGCAGGCAAGGCCACCGCCCAGCCCTGCAAAACATCTGCAGCTACAAAACCCCAGAGGACCCCTGCTTTCAGTCCTGTGTCAGGAAGTTCAAACTGCACCTCAAAATGTCTTTTCCTCTCTCAGCTCTGGGGCTGCCTGATGCCCAGCATGGCCAGGGCTCGCCAGGCCACCAGGCGAGGGTGTCCTGCCAGCCCCGTCCCAGGGAGGCAGCAGGGAAGGGTGACACAGTGGCCAGGTTTCCCCTGGAACATGACACAACCAGGACTGAGCACCCGACACATCAAGCTCGGCTTTGCCACGTGCTCAGGGAGCTCCCAGGTTGTCTTTGTTCCAGTTATAAATTGGGGGAAAAGGAGTTATCCCTTTGGAAGGAACTGCCCCCTGGCAGAGCGGAGACCCACAGGCCACAGCTCTGCAGGTCCGTGGCACCGGGCTGGAGGCCCTGCTGTGAGCAGAGGCAGGTCAGCTCACTGTTTGCTGCATGTTTTCTCCAGCTGTACCGCCCAAGATCACTCGAGGACATCCCCATCACCATCCTCTGACGGGAAAGGGAACAGCACACCATAGCCCAAGCTGCTCGTTAAAAGTCTCGCTTTCCCAAAATCCCACACCAATGCAGCAGGACTGTAACTCCCATCCTTTCTCCTCCTACCGCTGCCGTTTGCACCAAGCACTGAAGCCTCATGCCCAAGCCCGTCCTGCCGCTCACAGCCCACCCCAGGTCCCCCCACAGGAGCCACGTCCTTCTAAGCTCACCCACTGCTGCTCGAGAGGAAGGCTCGGCTCTTTGTCCTCACCTCCCCTTGCAGAAACACACCAACATGTGCACGCAGGGCATTACGAAAATAATAAGAAACAGAGCACTGCCCTCACATGTGCTGTCTCACGGGAGGAGGAGACCAGCCCTGCTGTGTTTGCATTGCCCGGCGCCCTGCAAACACACCGGGTGCTTCACAGCCATGCGCTCCAGATGGGAACCCACGAGGAGGAAAACAACGCAGAATTCCAGAGTTGCTCCCCAAGAGCCTGGCGCCAGCGGCAGCCCCGGCACTGCCTGGTGACCAGGACGTGCCCTGCAGCCAAATCCCACCGAGGAGACAATGAACCCGCTGACTCTGGAGCCCGCCCTCATTTTGCAATACCAGTTTCTTTAAGATTTGCCAAACTGGTTAAAGACCATGCCACAGTATTAACTGCTTAGAGAGAATTCTGGTCCCTGTCTGGCCATGCTTGCCAGCCACCCTGGAGCAGGCAGAGCAGTCAGAGTGGGCACGACAGCTGGACTCACCTGGCAGAGAGGGCAGGGTGGGCAGGGAAGGCAGGGCTCACCTGGCCGGGCTGTGCTCTGGACTGGACCCCTGCCCCTGCTCCCGGGGCTGTTCCCCCAGCCTGGCCCGGGCTGGTTTCAGTTTTCCTTGCTGGGAAAACAGGCTGCCCTGTTATCAGGTGCGTGTCCCCAGGAGGTGGGGAGGTTGCGGACTTTGCCTCCAGACAGGGGCATGCATATCAAAAGGCTGGAGGGAAGCTTTGCCGATGGCTGGGATGGAGCCATCGCCCAAGCCCTGTTTGAATAACAAAAAGAAATAAAGGACCCTAATGGCCGGGCTGGCTCTGGGCTGTGGCGCACACTAATGGCCTTTAAGTCTCCCCAAACCGAACATTTTCCTCTAATCCTGGAAAGAAAGGAGTTGCTGGGTTGGCAGTTCCGTAAGAAAGGCGCCCATTTCGCAGATGTGCTTGCTGGGAAGGGCAAGGGGCGAAGGGCAGGCTCCCCCTGCCCGCTTCCTGTGCCTGGCCCCTCCGCTCTCCCGCTCCGGCACTTCCCTCCATTTCCCCCGGTTTCCTCCTGCCCCGCTCCGCTCCCCCCGCAGCCCTCGGCGCCCACCCCGGCTCTCCCCGCTGCCTTTCAGCAAAGCTGGACTAAAGAAAAGAAACAAAACACAAACCAGCCCCTCCTCTCCCAGTGCAGACCAGGCTGGAGACGTCTCCGGGGCAGCCACCATCCCCGCCAACCGCTGCTCCAGCCGCTCCGGGCTCTTTACCATGCTCATCCCGGTGGGATCCCGCCGGGCCGGGCCCCTCCCGAGCCCCCCGGCGTGGGGCAGGGGCTGCCTTCCGGCGGGGCTGGGGGTTGCAGGCAGGGAGCTGCGGGCAGGGCTGGCAGCCTTTGGGGGCAGTGGGGGCTCCGGCGCTCAGGTGGGTCCCTCTCAGCAGTGGCAGGTCCTCTGTCCGGAGCGGTCACTGCTTCATCTTCCCCCTGCACAAGAGGACATGAAGCCATGACAATGACACCTCGCTGTCCCCATCGCCCCTCTGCCCGGCCCCGCACAGCCCCAGATCCGGGACTGGGATACCCGGGCTCACTCCCCCACAGTTCATTAAAAATTCTCTGGAAACTAGAAACTTGGGCAGGAAAGGCGAGTCCTGCTCAGGGCAGCACGTTCCAGCCGCCCCGCTGTTTTCCCTGTCCCGTTCCGAAGGGGGTCGGCGTAGGACCACTGCTCGCCCCACTTGCCATGGGGTCCCCCCCGCCGCTTCCCTCTCCCGGCTTCCCGGTACTTGTGCCCCACGTTTGGGCCACTGCGAAGTTCATTCCTCTTTCTCCGATGCTCTACTGCCCCCCGGGCTCCCCCCCCGGGCTCTACAGGAGGCGGATGCCAGCAGAGCCCTCCGATCGGTACCTGCCCCGGCCGTCCCGTCCCTCCGGCCCGGCCCCGGGGAGGCTTCGCGCCTGAGGCTCCGCCGGGAGCTGCTTTTCCTGCCAACAGAGAAGGAAGATACGCTGTCAGATCCCCGACCGAGAACCGAAAACAAAGGTGTTCGGCCCGACCAGCAGCGCCACCGCGTCCCGGTACCCCCGGCAGCTCCCCCAGAGCCCCCGGCCTGGAGGCGGCGCTGCCCGGGGCCGCTGAGCCGAGGAGGGGGACCCCGGCCCCCCCGAACCACCCCCCGCCCCGCAGCCATCACTCGCCGTGTCAGCGAGGGGACCCTCCCGCCCCAGCCTCTGGCTGAGCCCCGGCCCGGCCCCGCGGGTCGTGGGGGGTCCCGCACCGGCCCCGCTGTGACAGTCCCGGGACGCGCCCCCGGGGCTCGCGGCGCCGCTGCGGGAAACTCCGAAAGTTGCGACGGGACCGGAGGGGTGGGCGGGACCAGGGGCACCATGCCCGGGGCTGTAGGAACACAGATCCCCTCAACTCGCCCCGGAGCAGAGCGCCGGCAACAAGTGGCGGCAGGACCCACCGCCCCCCGCCCGCTGCCCGAGCTCCCGGGGCGGAGCCGCGAGCCCTCGGCTACCGGGACCGCCGGACCGGCCGGGGCGCTCCCGCCGCCGCGCTCCGGTGCGCCCGGTGCCGAGTCCCCGCCCGCCCCATTGTCCCCCGCCGCCGCCGCGCACAACAAAGCCGCCCACGAGGATGTTCCGCGGCTCCAGCTCCGACCCACCGGTCCCCCCGGTCCAGCGCTCACCTGCGCCGCGGCGGGACGCGCCGTCCAGCGGGGCCGCGCCGCCGCTCGCCGCCTCCCGCGCCCCGGCCGGCCCCCGACAGCCCCGCGCTCCGGTTACATGGCGCTTTAACCCTGCCCGTGCTGGGCAGCCCCTCCTCCTCCTCCTCCTCCTTCGCCGCCCCATGGCGGGGGAGGGGAGCGCGGGGCCCGTACCGCCACCGCACCCGCCCGGCCCCCCGCGCCCCCCGTGCCCGCAGCCCTCGGGGTCCCGCATTCCTTCAGGGCCCGCATCCCTCGGGGCGCCGCATCCTCCTCCCGCCACTCCGCACCCTCAGCGTCCCGCTGTGTCCCCTCCACTGCCCCGCATCGACCGGGACTCCTCATCGCCCAGTGCCCCACATCCCCCCATGCTCCCAGTTCCCCTCATACCCTCCCCGGTGCCCTGCTTCTCCTCCCCGGGGCTCAGTATCCCTCTCCCGGGGCTCCACACCTTCTCATGTCTCGCACCATACCCTGGTACCCGCCGGCGTCCTGGTGTGGCCTCCACTGTCCGGCATCCCCCTAACCCTCAGCATTCCTCCGGGGCTTGGTCCTCGGAGCCCCCCGCAGCTCAGCCACCGAGAGAGAGGAGACACCCCCCCGCCCCGGGGAGAGAAGGGGAACCCCGGGGCCGGGCAGAGCCCTCACCCGCCCAGCCACCCCTCTGCCCACCAGTTTCCAGCAGCGCCGTGCCCCACACAGCCCCGTGCCCCACACAGCCCTGTGCAGCACAACCCCGCGCAGCCCAGTGTGGGCAGACAAAGCCTCACAAGTTTTAAACTCAGTTTTTGTTTGTTCTTTCCCTTTCCCATCCAGAGGCGAGACACTTGCGGAGCTGCGCCGGGGCCAGGGACACAGCCCGCGCCTCTCCTGCCCCAGACAAAGCATCCAGAGTCCACGTGGGGTATAATCTTCTCTGCTCGTTTGTTATTACTTCTAGATCCAGCAGAAGAGTATATACCAGTAAGGAAAGGAATATGATTATCCTGGTGTGACAGAAATGAGCTTTCAAGGTCAGGAGGAAAACTTAGTTAGCCAAAGTGTGTGAAATCTGCAGGAAGCATGTGGACCAGCCCCAGGCCTGTGCAGCAGGTTCCCCCAACCCACCCCTCCACCCCTGCAGAACACAAGCATGAAAAATTTGGCAGCAAATGCAAAAAAAATTCTGCAAATGAACAGGAGGAGCTGAGAAACCCGCTCTGGATGAGCCCTTGGGAACACTGGACATCACCGTTCAAACAAACACATATTGCATAAACCTAAAGGCAATTTGCAGCTCAGGGGAGGAGATTAAAACAGACAGACAGATTTTACTCCTGTTTCTTTTTCCAGATTTGGGAAAGGGAAATGCTTTTTCAGGCTGTGCTGTGCTCATTAGAGTTTCCAGGGCACTGTGAGGCTGGAATCAGCCCTTCCAGCATCCATGGGCTCCTCTCCCTTTCTGCGGAAACCTTCCTGCTGCTGTTGGCCTCGCTGACCTGCCATCAATCTCCTGCCGGCTGAAACGCCCTCTTTCCCTCTCTGCCCCTCAGTTATCATTTAATTCAGGAGAGGATGGCTGTGCAAACTGCTTGTGGGAAAGGCCTGGTACCAGACAAAGCAGCTCTGGCAGAGGATGAGACAAACCCTGATTCTTTCCCTGTCTCCTCTAAACACACCACAGAGAGATGCTATGAGTTTATTTCTTAACAATCAAGAGAATTTGTATGTCATTTCCTGGGAAACAGGGTACCTCTACAGAGGATTTTATATCCAGGCTCCTGCCAGACATTCCCAGTATCCAGCACCAGGCTCTCAGCAGCTCCTGCTGAGCCAGGGCTGGCAGCAGCAGCCTCTGCCAGGTGAATAGCAAAGCAGTTCCCTTGCTGGTTCTCACCAGCCCTGCGGTTCTCTAGCATGGACTAGCAATGGGACATGGCTGTGGGGGCATACCCCCTCTGCTCCATCGCTGGAGCAGAGGCAGGGAGCTGGGCAGCATGGCCAGGGCTCATGTGAACATGGAGGGAGAGGTGGGGAGTCCCTCCCTACCCCTGGGCTTAGGTGGCATGTCCTCTGCACACCACATCCCTCCCCATGATGGAGGAACTCCCACCGGCAGCAAGGCTGGGCTGCCCAGCTTCTGCAAGAAATCATTCCAGCAGGAACCATTCCCCCATCTGGCTGGCATCTCAAATCCATGGAGCTGGACCAACCAGCTGAAGAAGCTATTCCCTGTCACTTTCACACAGTTGGGATTGGCAACATCCATTCACATCAGAAATGACTCCTCATCTTTCACATGCTCCCCAGTGACCATGCCAGCCCTTCCATGCATCACTCCTCACTCCCAACCCTCAATTCTCCTCCTCACCAAAGGCTGCTCAGCCAATGCCTTTTCTGAAGTGCACCTGGGTTATAGCACCAGGCCCAGCTCTCTGTCCACCCAGTTCCCCTACTTCAAATCTCTTCCTAAAATTCTCTTGGTCAGAAAAACCAACACCCCTCTCTGACTGCAGCTCTGCTCTGGCTCCCACCACCTCCCATCTCTTGCTTTGCACCCAAGGCTTTGAGTCAGAACCTGCTCCATGTGTCACAGCAGCGTGCCTGGAGACCCTCCACAAATAAAGGGATTGAGCAAATATGTGTCATTACCTACAGCTGTCGGCAGTGCAACCTTGTCACCTCTGGATCTGTGGGTCCCGGGTTCCCAGGTCTCAGTAGTGGCCGAGTTCTTGTTTAGTCTTCTCGCAGGTAGGGACGAGCACCAGCACTATTAAATCCCCTCAGACAGTTGTGAGCCGGGGCTGGGAGCAGGAGGAACTTCTCCTTTTGCTGAAGTCAGTGGTGATGCTCCTGCTGGGTTCAGGCTTTGGGGTCCCCATTTCGGCGCACACAGCTCAGCGGCTCTTTCCCAGCCTGCAGTAACATCATTTTCACTGCCCGGCATTCTTCGCTGCAAGACCCCATAGGATCATGTCCCACAGGATGTGTCCTCCTCTTCCATGAGCTTCTCCATGGCCTGAGCCCTCGCCCCAGCCCTGCACTGGCCACCTGCCTCTCCACCAGCTCCACCAGTGCTGCTCCATCACAGCTCCCAGAGACCATCCGCTCCTCACCACGGCTCCCCAGAGCAGCTCTCCCATCCCCAGCACCTCTCCTGAGCCTGGGGAGAGCTGTGCCATCCAACAGGGCTCTGGCTGTTAGAAGCAAGGTCTGTCCCTGCTGTGGGAGAGCCTCATCCTGCTGCCATATGTGGGAATACAGCCCCAGCTTCCCTTACAGCTGGGCTGGCTTTTCCCATCTGGGGGAGAATTGCTGTTTACACAGAGATAGGAAGTGTTATCCCTCCTACAAGAAGTTTCTAGCCCTTCCTGTGGGCTGGCCAGGCCCACATGATACAAACCTCTAATAAAAATAAGGTTAAAAATAAGTGTCATCCGTGTAACCAGAACATCTAGAAAGTCTGCAGCTACCCGTCTGTAAACTTCAAACGTGAAGGCATACAAAGAGAAACCTTCAATGCCTCTCTAACAAAGCTGGCCACAAAATCCTCTTTTTCCCAGAAAACAGGATACGCCTGCTACAGCCT